TCAGTAAGAAATTCTACAGGCTATAAAAGTGAAGAAAAATCTAAAATACATGCATTTTTTAAAGAAAAATTTTTAAGTTCGAAGTTCATGAACATTTTTTAAAATGTGTACTTTTATAATAAAAGTCATACTTAGCAAAACAAACACAAGAAAAAAGAAGTCTCTTAACAAAATCATAATTGATAACATAGAAATGAGAACACTGATATAAACTAAAATTATTACTAATGATTTATTAGCAATAATCCTCTCCAAAGCAGTAAGATGGCTTTAATTACTTTCACATATACCAGTTAAAAATAAAATAAGGCCAAAGACAGCTTGTGAAATGCTTTCTTTCTTAAAAGCAATAGCATTACACCCAAAACAAGAAAAGCAAAACCACTGCTTCAGGTTGGTTCTGACTGACAGAAGCCTGCTATCAGATTCCCACTGCTGTAAAGCAGTTGCCAGATTTAAACCACCCACATTCTGGGTAGCAGCCTGTACCACCAGAGATCCTCAGCGTTCAAAATCTCAAACTCACTGCTGTCCAGCCAGAATGCACTCTCAGCTCACCCTCTACAGGTTTATGAAGGCTTAAACAGGAGGAGAGGAGACTCTCCAATCGGAGGTGTTGGCAGATTTTAATTGGTGGAGAGGTGCCACCTTTGGGTCTGCATGCAACTCTCTAAGGTTTAGGGCACCAGAGCTCTGTAGGGATCCTTAAGGATGCTGTTGTTGATGCTGCTGCTGCTTTTGTTGTTGTTGTTGTAAACCAATGAGTCGGAACCAACCCACAGCTGACCAACTAGCAGGTTTTCAGGGCAGTTACTCATATGGGAGGAGACTGCTCCTCCATCTCCCGAGGAGCAGCTGGCTGATTTGAACAGTGTCTTTGGGATTGCAGTGCAGCTTCTCACCAGTAGGCCATCAGAGCTCCCTAAGGATCCTTAATGTTGTTGTTGTTATGTGCCATCGAGTCATTTCCGACTCATAGCGACCCTATGCACAACAGCCCTAAACCCTGCTCTATCCTGCGCCAACCACACCGCCTCTGACACACCCATC